ATAAAATATTATACGTTTTAATGGATATATTAAAAAAATTGCAATAATTTTTATATTGTGAGAATAATTAACCAATTAAAAGAACTCCGTGCCGATACCGAAGTCAGGAGTCGAACGGATACACTGCAATATAGTCAGAAAAAATAAATAAATTCACAAATCTTTTTTAATATACCATAATAATTGCAACATTATCATTTTTCTCATTTTCAGGAACATTTAAAAAAATCTAAAATGATCATTTTCGTAAAGTTAAAAAAAGAAATTGTAATGCATATTGTATATAAATAGTATATATATATATATATATATATATATCATTAGGAAATGTGAAATCAGTTAACATATCGTGTGGTAGAAACTGATATTGGAGAATATCTCAATAATAATGTATGAAATCTAAATAATTTATTTTATTAATGAATATATCTTTGTCCCATCATTGACCATGGTTGAGGTAATATTATAGGACATAGAAGTTGTAAAAATTCCAATGTAACATTTATAATTTCGAAATAATCGAACAACAGCGTATTAATTTTATTCCTTGAAACTTCGTTTTTCTAAAAAAATTTGGTACCTTTTAAAAATGATATGTTCCTATAAAATATACAATATACATGTATAGTCTATAAAATATGTCATGTACCTAATTAAACTTTTTTTATTTTTGCTTTTTATCAATTTTTGTTTAATTAGCTATTTCAAACGATCGCTTGATGGTCGTTATAGTTGACATCTGCTGTATTTCTGTATATATATATATGCATACTGAAGTTCATATTCTATAAAGGTCACCACACCGATAAGCTTATGTTTTCACTTGGACACAATTCTCAATATTTTCTTAATACTTGGTATAAAAAAAATATGGGTTAATGTTCTTCTTGGGTCCCACACGAGTCACGAGAATGTTCAGTGGGGCCTATTATTCTATTGAAAGAAATAAAAAGAAATAATATTACATACTTGTTAATACGAAAAATAAAAAACAACATTTTAATGTTTATTGCTACAATAATCTTGCCCGTCGACGCATTAGACCTAAGGGACGGAGGATGCCTGTCTCCGTAGACACTTTCGAATTATTAAAATATATATTAACGAGGACTCAGATTTAAATTTCTATTATATGTAATTGTCCTCGTTCTATACTTTTAAGTGAAGTCTTATATTTTATAGATTATGAGTATAGCGATCGATGTATTGATTTTTCAACGATGCACCTATATTTTATTTGTGTTGTGAATGTGTACACCCATTTTGTAGTAGACTTGATTTGATTCTTAACTTTTACGGTGGTTTCTGATAGAAAAATTAAGTCTGTTTTTTTTCGTTTGAAGATAAAAAATAAAAATTCCCAGTATATTTATTGATTGTTAAAAAAAACAATGCAATTAGGAAAAAACAGGAATTAATAAGCCAAAAATCAGTTTTTGACAAAATCAATTTTCTTATTTTGTTTTAATTTGTGAAAATTGAAGTAGATATGTACACCTAATTTTTACTCACCATGCAGCAACAATAACCCGATAAAGGCTATCATATTTGCAGGTCTATATGTACCGTTTAAAATTTATACGTACATCTCAATAAATGTATTAAATTTATCAATATCTTTAATGCTTAATATAATATAATAATTATATAATAAAAATAATGTTAAACGAATTCAAGGATAATGATTGAATTATACAGTAGATAATGTTTAATTTCACTTACGTATACTAATATGTAACCTTGACTTTGATCTTCCATTAATCATTTATCAGAGTTATTTGTCAAAGTATTACGATTGTTTGTCTATAAAAGGATTTAATAGGTTTTGCAGACTTTGCATTCCGCTCACGTCCACTAGGTTTTTTTAAACATAATCTGTACATTATTTAACCAAATAATTTAAAGATTTAAAAAAAAATACTTTAACTCACTTGATTTATTACACATTTACACAAAAACCTTATACAAATGGTTTCTGACTACAATGGTTAGGTATTGATATAGGGAGTATTTGCAAATGTTATATTATTAAAATTGTAATTAAAAATTATAATATTTGAATGAAAAAAATTTATTCATAAAAATTTACCAATTTATAACCAGGGGAGCTATTTTAATTTAATATTATAAACTAGAGATATCATCTTTTTAGATGTGCTCAATGTGCTGCACGCTAGACCTCGTAAGTAAAAATGCAGGGCCGTCAATCCAATTTTTTAATTATTATTAGAGCCCACAAAATAAATTGGCCAATGTATTAACTGCGATAATGCGTTTTCTCAACGTAAAAAATAATAAGGCCCAGGCAAAATGATAGGCACTACCTGAAACCTTTCTATAACGGACACTTTTAAATGTCCCTTAAAGACAGGTTTAACTGTATTATATAGAGAATGATTCACCAATCATGCTCACCCAATATTTTTCCTTAGTAGGTAATAAATTTAGTTCAGTTTTGATTTTTGGAATTTTTAAATACACTCAAACAACGTATTTTAAAATTCTTTATTTGTTTCTACTACTTACGGACTGTCCTGTGGTGGGTGATACAACCATCTGTTTTTCAAATTAGAGCCCCCTTTTTAGTATAGATTATTTAGTAGATAGTTTTTTTTTTGAAAATTCAGATGTACCTAATGCAAATTCGAGTGAGTAATTTCTTAGTTACTTAAATGCTTGTACTAAGGATAATAGTCCTTAAAATGGTTTTATTAAAATATAAAACCTATGTAAAATATCATCTAGTATTTATTATGCTTTTGACATTTTTATAAATTATAATAGATTGATATTAGTTACTAAAAATGGGTGTTGTCAGTTGAAAAACTGGAGTTTGTATCTCCACAAGGTACTCCTCAAACAGTACAAAAAAATTCAATAATTTAAAAATATGATCTTCAAGCTTAGGTATTTCAAAATTCCAAAAATCAGAATTTGAATAACTGTATTTATTGATGAAAAAAGGGGGTGATCATGCTTAGTGAATCACCCTGTATAGCATGTAGTTAAAATTCATAACACGAGAAACGATTAAAAAATATTGGAAGTGGTCAAAAAAGGTATACATATACGAGTAGTATAGGTACACATGAGTGACTTGCTATGTTTGTCCTCTTAAATTTTCTCCAACCCACTATACAAGATTTGCCACTCCAAAGCCACCTCCTGTCAAAGCTTTAAAAAGTGCATAAAACTACTGTATGAATGCTTAATGGAAATTAATAATTCAACTGTTAAAAAATTTAAATGAAGCTAACTCTGTAAATTGCAGGCTTACTCTGCAAGAAATGAAAGAACAAACATTTTAATTTTAAGTATCTGTAACCGATAAATATATACTTACAATTTAATTTTCTTTACTTATTGAGGTAACAGCTGAATCCTTCCTATGCCCTATACTATCATAAATAATTGTCGGTTTTAAAGTACTATTATAATTGAGTTCAGAGTTTTAAATTTACTTGCAGGTAATAAAAAAACGAATTCAGTGCCGAATAATTACATAATTTTATTGCGAGCACTTGTGCCTATAGTGTAGCTTGAATTTGAGTGACTTGAGTTACTATATTTTAATGCTAAGTTCAACGCAATGTTATTTTTTTTCATCCAAAATCGATTTGATAAACAAATGTTTGTGTAGTTAATAAAAAGATATTTACACTACCTGATTTTTTCTAAAAACGTTCATGAAGCTTTTGCTGACTTAATGTCAATTTTTCCCAAAGAGAACGAAAACGGAAATAAGGTTATCGAGACATATTATTACTGAGTCGTAACTTAACTGATATTTACTACCTACTTACTATAGTTAAGTCCACGAAAATCGAACGACTGTCTCTTTAAAATGAAAACAAGCACATTTTTTCTTCTTATGGATGTCACGGTTGGAATATAGCTAAACATATTTAAAGTTTTCGACTACAAATGTATTTTACTTATTTTATTTTCATAAAAATGTTGATGCAGAAAATATATTGAATGTGAGGTCATCAAAACTTTAAGGGATTATTTAAAAAAAAACATTGTCATAATAATTAAAAAGACAGGTTATCATAAAATAGGTACTTAAAATTAAAATAAAAAAAAAGTTTTTTTTTTTTAAATCATTTTTTGTGTTAAATAGTTTTCACTCTGAAAGTTCTCATCAAAAAACATTATCATCTATATAGATGGTGATTTTTTAAGAATGTTTATCCTGTTTTATGATTAAATTATACATATATTAAGATTTAGGTTTTTGAAATTCTTAAATACACTTGAAGACCATTTTTTCAAATGTTTGAAATTTTCTATACCACTTCAGGATCATCTTGTGCCAATAAAATCTTCAGTTTTTCTAATAGGAACCTCCTCTTTCATTTTTAATCACTAAGCGGATATTTTTTTTTGAGAATTTTGATGATGTGTCCAAATCAAAATTCAAGCTACATAGTAGTTTGTGAGTTACGCAACTTTGTGTTTTAAGGATATTATGTCTATGGTAACGAGTTTAGTAAATAGGAGGCTTAGACGATTTGAAAATTTTTGCAATTACTATTAATTAATCAATATAAATAATTTGTAATAATCATCTAAGTATAATAAATACTACGTTTAACATTATATATAGTTTGTATTCTTATAAAACCATTCTTAAGGATTATTATCCATTTGAATAGCTCAGAATCTACTCATTAGAATTTTGCTTTAGATACCTCAAAAAAATCATTAACTGAATAATTTTCAGTAAAAAAGGGGAGTTTTCGTTTGAAAAATAGAAATTTGTATTACCGCAGGGGACTCCTTAAATAGTGCAAAAAATATCAGATATTTGAAAATATGTACTTTAAGTCTACATGAAAATTCTAAAAATCAGAATTTGAATAAATGTACTATTAAAGTGAACAAATTTGGGTGAGCATTCTTAAAAACTCACCCTTTATACTATTTATATTATACCATTACTATCAGTCATCATTATTATTATCATCAACATCATGAAATTGTTCATCGTTCAACAGGTGTTTGGGCGGCGTCCACTACGAACTCGCGGCGGCGTCATGGCGGACACGGTTTGAGCAGTTGCGGATGCGGCGCGTACACAGCCGCGGCCGATGTGGATCCCGATGATGGCTGCGGCCGCACAACACGACAGGGTCGTACTGTCACCGCGCCGGTTGCAGCAGCATCAACAGCAGCAGCACACTCCTTCGCCGGATCGCGATCGACATGGCCAGCGCACTTATCTGCACATGGTGCCCATGTTGCCTCCTCCTGCCGTTCCTGCGGTGAGTCCTGTCGCATGTACAGTCACATAATATGGGGTGTCGCAGCAGACGCGCACATTTCAAAAACGCAATAACTCGGCAAAAAACTATCGAAATTTCGACGAAAAAAAATGTGTTCTAACCGTAGACATTTCCGATTTAATGGTGAAAAATTGTGTCTAGTAAATGACCACCTAATGCGATCGTTCAAGTCGGTGACCTCTGCCGATTCTGCCGATTCCGCCGATTACTCCTTCTGATTTTTTCCTTAAATTAGTAGTGTATCTCTTGCGGATTATTTGCATACACTAATGACTTCACGTATCCCCACAAATACCTGGAAGGCCAATTCTGATCACCTTGGTTCGATATCAGGTTATCAGGGAATTTTTCAACGCCATTGTCTCATTTGAAGTGTGGCAGGTAGCCCAATCTTGCGGAAATCATCACTCATCAAGTAAGATAAACATTGGAACCGTGCAGCTGCTAACCCTGCAGAAACGAAATTACGAAGTTTTTAAAATGTGATCTTCTGCTGGGACACCCTATATAACGTCTAAATAGGAATATTTTATAACTCGGTAAGATCGTCATGATAAACGGATAATGATATTTTTGTGACTATCTGAATGTCCATAAAGTTATTTTTACTGATATAGTTACACAAATATTATTCACTTCGCTTTGATTTTTTTGGCTTTTGGTCATTATTATAACTACCGAACTTTAATAAATGCATTATAATGTTATGGGTAGTAGTAAGTTCCACTCGAAAGTAGTAGTTAACAATTATATACGTCGATTCTTACGGTTGAGAATTATGATTCAGACGTGTATTAGTTCTTATACGGTGGAACAATTATACATGTGTAAGTTTCTATAGGTACAATAAAAAAATATGATATTTTGTAATTATTGTTTTAAGGCATATATACAATATTCTAACCTATGAAATATAGTTATAGATTTTGATTTTTACATTTATTAAATAATTAAATAGTTTTCACAAGTATAATACATTTTTACGTTGTGAAAAATGTAAAATTGTATACGATATTTGTCTGTACTTAATTATAATAATTTTTTATATTAATAAGCAAATATTTGAATTAAAAATTGTTCAAGACAGTTGTATGAGCTTGTATCATTAATGCCATAACATCTGTGTAGAAATAATGTATTATATTGTTTTAAATCATGTGGGAATCATCATAACTATATATACTCGTATTTATAACTTCTAGTTCTCGTGTTGTAACTCACAGTCTCTCAGTAATATAGCTAATATAGGTCATGTACTCGTGTACCTGCTGTTGTGTTATTGAAAAGGAAAATCAATAAAAAAGTTTACCGACACTTATTTATATACCGAGTACTGATAGCAGTCCGTATAGATCACCTCAATGTCTACGGTCGGTTCAATATTGTGGTATTCGTCGTAAAGTCTGAAGGCGGGCGAGAAAAACAATTGTATGCTATGCCACGTACCACTCTTGAACTATAGGTACCTACCTCCGCAATTATTGAACAATGCTTATTTAAAAAAAAATGTTTGAAACGATTAAAAAAATATATGCTATAAAAATACCGTATTTATGAATACGGGAAACCGACAATAATAATATCAAATTAAAATATTATTATGACTGTCCATTCCTGCAACCTACAAGTCTGATATTTAGGTTAATATTGTTTGTCAAACTGAGTATAATATTGGCCGTTGTGAAGTATGAACAATGTATCTAGGTGTACCTATACGGTTCCAGCAAAATCTGCTGTCATATTATTATTATTATTATTATTATTAATACCGCTATCCACTCTTACCGTCACATGACAATGGAAAAATTGAAATATATAAATTACATTCTCGCGATATCAAGGGTATAAACACTTACAGCAATTCCATTACAATATTATTACCATAAGCATTTTTTCCCCGTGATTAGGTACCTATTTTAAAATTGTACGATGTTCGAAACCTTTCCATATTATTATATTATAAAAACTATTCAAATATATAACAACAAAAATGCGTCTGTGACGTTAAAGATTATGTGGTTATAGTGGCGGGTCCGATGTTATTCTTATATCATAATATGTGTATTATGTGTATTATGTGCATTATGTATATAGTGTGTGTGTGTGTGTGTGTGTGTGTGTGTGTGTGTGTGTGGTGTGTTTGTAAACGGAATATCATCAATCGATATCAAACGAAAGAATCGATTGAAGTTGCGTCAGTTAAAATGTCCATAACGATTTGAAATATTCTTTTCTTAATATTTTATTAGTGCACGGTAGTTTTTAGATGGATATGTAATTTGAATTAAAATACTTCAAGTACTGAAAATTGAATACTTAATAAACTACAAATGGCAAGAACTTGAAGCATTATACTATTATTGGTATCTACCTAATTATACATTTAACATTTAAATGAATGGTATGAATCAAGTATTGTATTAACATATTTATTTCGTTCAATTTTATTTGACCACATTTAGTCTGTTCGTACATTTCCACCATGTAGGTACCTGGTATTTACATGTTAAGACAACTATTAATCAGTGCTCCTGCACAATGAAATAATTAATATGACCTACCCAATCAATAACTATATAATATATATATTAAGTAATTAATCGAATGATATTCTTTGATTTAAAATATGCATATAATTATACTATTGTACAATTATATATACATTGCACAACCTATACTTTACAGTGTCAATTTATAAAAAAAAATCATGAATACAATTCTAAGGAAAATGTGAATTTGATTTTTGTGCACCACGAATACAGTTGAAGTCATAACATATTTTCCATAACTTTTATTCCAACAATTTTTCTTCATATTATACGAGATGATTTAAACTGAAATAAATACTTTCAAATTTCAATAACATAATTAACTAACTATACTACTTATATATTGTATAATATTGCAAATAGTTAGAAAATTGTACACAAATTTAGTATACCAATGCCATTTATACTTCTATAAATATATAATAAATGTAAAACACAATATATAAACATAACTATATATCCGTAGATAAGTAATTATACAATTAATATTCGATATCAGGCATGAAATTTACAATCGAAGTTGAATTACTAAAATATAATGCTGTGCAGAGTTGTTCCGCACATTCCGTACGTTGCACTAAATTCTAACTTATTGTTATTTTTGTTATTTTTTTTATATTTATGAAATAATGAAAAAGAAAATTAGTGTTATTTATCATAAAATATTTGTGTGTTAATAAATAGACCTAAGGTAAAAAATAAAAATTGAAATAAAAAATAATAATACTAAGTTAATTTTTTTTCACTTTGTTTAAATCATGTTTACACACAGTAAAACAAACATAAGTCAAGTAAGCATACTTGCATTTTGAATATGAATAATTTTACATAATTTGAAGACTATAAATGGAACTAGCTGAGCACTCACAAATAATTGTGTGATGGAAGCACATGCACATATAATTTTTTAAGTGCATTCACTGTTATTGATAGAATAAAATTTAAATAATGAATGACTTGTTTTATTTATTTTCTTCGTAAATAGCTAGTAAATGCTTTGAACTTATAACTCTAATATAATTTATTTTAAATTCTAGAACAGAGGTTCCTAAACTGTGGGTCGCGACCCAAAAGTAGGTCACGATTATACTTTTGGTGGATCGCGCTATTTTTTTAAATAATACAAAAATATAATCATCTATTACTTTTCGTTGATGTTCAAAGTTCAAAATTCAGTTTTATCGTCAATCCTTATCTGTGAGTGTGACAATTACGAGTTTACCAGGGGCCGTGTCAAATACTATTTATTATACTTATTATAATTTTTTTTCGTAATTACATAAAATTTAATAAAATAGTTTAATTTTCTGTTGTATGGTAAAAAAAAAAAAAAGGTCATTCATTGATATTGTGGGTCACCATATTTTAAAAAATTTTCAAAATGGGTCGTACAATAAAAAGTTTGGGAACCTCTGTTCTAGAAGAAACAAGTAATATAAAATTAGTATTACAGCAATCAGTATTGATCATGTTTATATACTAGTCATAATAAGTTATAACCACGTGCAGTTCACAATACGCATTATTTATTGTATTATTAATTATTTTTATCGAAGCAGAACTGATTTTGAGCACCACTTTGATTACTGGCAGAGGTAAACAAATAAAATAAAATAAAATTGAACATTTCTAAAGAATAAACAGTCAATATAAATTATCTATTCACACAGTTTTGGTTGAAAATGAGCGAAGCGTATTCAGCATAATACGCAACACAATATATTTATGAATAATGTACTGTGGGTACCTACCATATTATTATCTACGTGTACGTCCATAAATGAAATACAATTTTGAATTTTACCCTAGTACAATATTGTTAAGGAAGGTGGTATTTTGGCCGAAATATTTTGTTAAAATTGAATGACATTTTGAGAGTTCATCGGCCCAAAAGATGATTTACTATATTATTGAACGGCCTATATATTATATAAGTGACAATCGCCACGTCAGTCTATTGCCTTGGTGGGTTTATTATGATATATTGTTTCAATAAACCTCTCTGCTGGAAAATTTGATGTAAAAAGAAAAGAAAATAAAAAAATAAAAATTGATGTAAGTAATTTAGATTAATCAACTACTGCGTATTATGTATACTTACGATACATTTCCCACATTAGTGTATGAAAACTTTCTTTTACTTTTTAAAACCATTAAAAGTTGGCAGTCGTCCCCTTTGTTAACTATTTCATTGTAAAATGCCCATCCTTAACGCACAATATTATATAATATAGACGGTGGAATTTTATAGAGATCGACGAAAACATATATATAGAGAAATTCATCGTTACATAATATTCGATGGTAGTGTGAGATTATGGATTGAATAGAATCTTTTGTGCGTGCAACAATGAAATCCCGGCCTGTTCGTGAACGGACACTCGTGTTTCTGCCACGCACACATACACACACACATATATAAATATATAT